TCAGCCATAAGAGGCGGGGGGGGGGGGGAACGTTCTTAAAAATGCAGGGAGAAACCATTTGGAAAGTTCTCACTTTTAACCACAATCGGATACTGCCCATGTCCCACGAGTGAGGTTTCTGCCTGGTTTCCACCCATTTGACGCCTGTTCCCCTCCCCTTCGTTTTACTTTCACAATGACCCCCCTAAAAAGAGGCTAAAAGTGAGACCATCAAAAGTCCCCAAATCTGCTCTGGCTGAGGCAGAAAACTCTGTTCAAAGAGAGGAATTAATCGAAAAAGCCAATGGAAGAGAATATTGGTAGCTCAATATTGAATTGGAGCTCTCCGAGCCTGCAGACGTTTTTATGACCCAACTAGGTAACGTCATCAGTCCTAGTGAGTGTGACTTGCTCCCTGTTTAGAGACAGTAGTAGCTCTGAGCTTGGTCCTTTTCTTGCAGAATTTTCTTGACCCAACTAGGTAACATCATCAGTGCTAGATGAGCTCTGAGGCTGCCAAGGACCCCCATAATTAAAAATGACTAAACATTAAAAATGACTGATCGTCATTTTTCTTTAGGAACCATTTGAAATTACAACAGCACTAAAGAAAGAGTTGACTAGTCCTCGCATTTACGGCCATCCCAGCATCCCCCACACAGCCACAAAATCCTGGCGTCTGGCCGCCGGCTTGTGTTCACAACGGTTCCATAGCCAGTTCCCGACAAGCAAAGTCAATAGGGGAAGCGGGGTTCACTTAACGACCGCATGATTCACTTAACAACTGTGGGGGAAATGTCGCAAAATCAGGCGCGCCTCGTGGAACATCTGCTTCGCTTAGCGACAGAAACGCTGCTCCTAATTGTGATCGTAACTCGAGGACTACAATGACATCAAGCCAGTAGGAAGCGTTGGAGGGGGTGGGGGTGGATGAAAGAAAAAGCCACAAGATTGCTGTTTTGCAAAAATAGTTCTTTGTCTTCTGCTCGGGGAATTCCCCCGCGAAGGATCGTTTTGCAAGAAATGTGACTTTGCCGCTTTCCTCATAATTTGTAAGGTTTTGAAATTCTGGAATTCTCTTTCTTTTTAAAAGTACAGGCCCCCACAGATGACCTCATGAGCTCCTGCCAGCCGCGTGCAAATAACCGGCATAACCAGATTAATGAGTGGCTGCCTATGCCCAAACAAACCGTGGTTTGTTTAAATGTTGGCTAGTTTTGTGGGAGGGGACGCGTTGGAGAAGAGGAACAGGAAAACGGTAACAGACATCCTTCAAGTCTTTAAAACTGTTTTCCTCTCTGGACAAAGCAATTCACTAATCGATCTTTTACAATAGTATTTCTCTATTGCTGATGGCTGAAGACTTCCAAGAGTTATTGGGAAATGTATTTTATTTATTATTAAATTTATAGGTCACCAGTTTTACTANGAGGTTGGATAGCCATTTATCTGGAACGGTATAGGGTTTCCTGCCTAGGCAGGGGGTTGGACTAGAAGACCTCCAAGGTCCCTTCCAACTCTGCTGTTGTATTGTATTGTATTAAATAAAGATGGAAAAATAAAAATAAACCGATCACCCAGTCCTCAAAGAGAAACTCCAAACTGAGCTAGACGTGACACCTTTATAGACAGTCCTCGACTTACAACAGTTCATGTAGCGACCGTTCAAAGTCACAAGGGCATTGAAAAAAGGGACTTATGACTGGTTTTCACTCTTACGACCACTGCAAGCGTCCTCATGGTCATGTGATCAAAATCCGGACGCTTGGCAACTGACGGGTGTTTATGATGCTCACAGCATCCTGGGGTCACCTGACCCCCTTCTCAACAAGCCAAGTCAATGCAGAAGCCGGATTCACTTAGCGACCGGGTGAGGGTAAGTTCACAATGGCAGCGATTCGTTTAGCCGTCTGTGGCAAGAGGCACCGTAAAATGGGGCCAAGCTCGCTTAACAACGGTCTCGCTTAGCAGCAGAAATGTTGGGCTCCATTCTGGTTGGACGTATAGGACTAAAAAAAGCTAACTAACTCTCCCTCTCTCTCTCTCCTTGTCTCTCTCTCTTTCTTTCTCTATCTGCCTCTCTGTTCCTTTCCTTTTTTTTTTAAACTTTGGGCTTTCTGCATCTGGAGCTGCTCCCCTCCCTTCCCTCCCCAAGACCCCCTTCTTCCGCCCTTCCTCCTCCTCCTCCCCACCCCAGATGTTGGTCTCCTCTGGATAAGGCAGGCAGCCAGCTCTTCTCCACTCCGCACAGGCCACGGCGGGTAATTTTCCTCTGGATTTTTCCTGGCGAGGCTTGTTCGGCGTTTAACCTGTTGGGGGCACAACCCCGCCGGTGGCGGTTCAGACGGAGCGCCCGCTCCCCTTCTCGCCGCCCCGTTCCTCTCCTTTGTTCCTCGCCTTGACACGCAACCTGGGCTGTCAGGTTGCGCTAAGATCCGGAGCCAGGCGGGGGTCGGCTCGCTCCAGACCGCCGGCAGCCCCCCCCTCCCTCCCCATTGCAAGGCTTGGGGGTACCCCAGCCCCCGCCCCCCCTCCCCGAACCCAGCATCCTCTGCCCCTCCCTGCCTGCCTGCGCAGAGCTGCCGTTGCCATAGAAACCCCAGCCAATCCGGGAACTCGCTTGCAAAAGAGGGCCGGGGGTGAAGCGAGGAAGGTGGGGCTCCCCTAGCCCCCCTCCGCCCCCCCTTCCCCCCAAATCCCTTTGCCAATCAGAAGCTGCTTTCACACAACCTGCCTCGCATGCAGCCGCGCTTTCCGCCTCGGGTCAACGGCGAGCCCGAGCGGAGTTCTCACGCTTTGCAAAAGGATGCGGAGTNACTGTCAGGATACCTTGGATTTCTCCTTATTAGTTTCCAACCATTGCTTCTTGTCCTGCCTTCAAATGCTTTGGAGAATAGGTTGACCCCTTCTTCTTTGTGACAGCCTCTTAGATATTGGAACACTGCTATCATTCACCCCTAGTCTTTCTTTTAATTAAACTAGACATATCTGATTCTTACAACTGTTCATCATATGCCTTCTGTCCCCTAATCATTTATATTGATCTTCTTTGTACTCTTTCTAGAGTCTCAACATCTTTATTATAGTGTGACAACCAAAACTGCAATATTCCAATATTTTGTGGTCTGCGTGCTTGTAGTCAGCGTATTATCTGTTGAAAAAAGAAAATGACCACTAGAAGGCAGCAAAAATTACAGTTTTCTATACAGAATCACTTTGCTGCTGTCTAGTGGTGATGTAGATTTTTTCCCAACCCATCTGGTAAGTCTGATAGTGGCTAGTGTTTGGACACCTGTTACAGCTTGACTTAAGAGATACTGGCTGCTTCTCATCACTGACAACTGGACAGAGAAGAGAAGAACAGTTTTTATCCAAGTTAAACAAGTACCATAATGTGGCCTTGTTCCTAATAATAGCACAACCTTTGAGAATTGATTTACCATTGAAAGAAGAAATTGTATCTCTATTTTAGTGTAATGTAAGAAGCAGAACATGCTGCTCTTTGAATATTTTAGCCCAACAATGTGGAGACTACCATTTGGCAGCATTTTATCATTGGTGGGAAGTGAAGTTTAAAACATAAAATCCTGGAAAAAAACAACCATTGATGCATGAATGAATAAATAAGAACAGGGGCTCACATTGCAATTTTAGGCCATTACATAATATATGAAATTGAACAGTTTAAAAGATAGATCTGAATAAAGCAGAATTTTTAAATTGTCATTATCAGGCCATAGATTCATTTGTTCTATTGAAGTTTAGAGTTATACCAATGTATCTATGTCAACAATCTTATTAGCCAATGAATCAGTGAAGATATTGTTTGCTAGTTTATTATGTCTAAATCGGGGTAGTCAACCTTTTTATACCTACTGCCCACTTTTGTATTTCTGGGAGTATTAAAATTTTCTAACGCCCACCAGTTCCACAGTAATGGTGATTTATAAAGTAGGGAAGTAANTTTAAAACTCAATGAGAGGTGATGATGAAGGCTTTGGATACTTTGTTCATGGCCTAAACTGAATTGGCTTTTTTTCCTTGCATCGACTTAATACTGTTTTATAGATAAAAACATAAAAAACACAACAGTATTAAAAAATTTTTTTAAAAAAACCACAATACCATTCATTTTAAAACCTTCTGTAATATGTAAAAATTAGAAAATGAATTTATTTCTACAGTTTACATATTTTAGCAGAAATAGTTGTCCAAAATTTGTGACAAAAGTACCTTAAACACAAATTGTATTAATAAAGGAAAACAGTATATCTACATAAAGAGAAATGAACAGAAAAGCAGACAGTATGGAAATAAGACTATACAGATGACTTTAGAACCAGTATTAAATGCCCGATTTTAAGCCGTGGTAGTAATGACTGTACCGTATTCTATGTACACATACTGAATATTTTCAATATATATATATATATTTTTCCCCTGAAGGCATTATATGTAAACTATCTGCTGCTGCTTTACATAATCCTCCCTTGTTCTTTCACTTGAGCTTAGGTCCATTAGGTAGAATTTGGCCTCTTCAAATTAGATGGTGGAAAGACTCTCTGTTCATCCATTCTGTTCTCCTGCGATCTCAAAATAAGGCTGAAGAAATCTTCATCAGGAACGGTTGGTCCTTTTGGAATGTTTGGTGGTGGTTCACATCTCTGGTCATCTAATCGAGAGCCCTAGAAAAAGATCATATTAAAACCACTGTTTTATTTTAGTGTTTCAGCTAGTCAATTTTCCCATGGGAACCTTACTAGCATCCATTTCAAACCCGAGTGTCTTCCAGAACCATCCTGAACAGTTATTCCATCAGACTAGATGACTTTTATTTTAATGTTCACTTGATGAACAAACAATTACATGTAAAAGAAAATCCAGAAGTTCATAGAGGAAAGTGGCATTGAAATGCTGCCTGCTGGTCCTTACATACACCGAGTCTTCCTACAAAGTGATCAAACCCTTCAACTTTAAATTCCATAGTTGGATAGTAGCATATGATCAAAAGACTGCAGTCCTACACACTTACTGGGAAGATGGTCCACCAACTCAATAGTACTCATTTTTAAAAATGAATGGGATGCTCCAAGATACATTAATATATAGTATCCCCCAAAGCACTGCAGCTAATAAGTTTCCTGCCAGACTGAGCGTCCTGGAAAACAAATGGAGTGGTACTTGTTGTTTGAGGGGAGCGAAGCGACATCTGAAATAGTATCCAAATGAGTTTTAACTAAAAAAAAATCTATCTAACGTAACTGTTGAATGGCAATCTGTTAAACTTTGGAATACGAATTATCCTCTCCATACCATATCAAATGCTCTGAAGTGCCTATCTAGGTAATATACATTAATAGAAAAAAGCAAGTATCAAAGGCTGAGGAAATCCTAAATACTAGAGAAATACAAAGTAATTCTGAAGACAAGACTTTTGAAAGTTTTATGTTAAAACTACATAAATCTTTGCAAGTCACTAAGCATACAAGAGGGGATTTTGCATATATCTCTAGTAAGCACTTCAATTTTAAACTCATTTGTGTGCAGAAAGATAAATCTGTTTTCTCTTGATAAATTTTGGTTTTGTTCCAATAAAGAGAAGAATAGGATTCCACAGGCAGATAACAAAATACACAATAATCACTATACTCAATCTGTCAAACACCTTTAAAAAACAATACAAAAACCACACTGTTTTGTATAACTAACATGATTTTGAAGAATTGCTTTGGAACTTGCATGGCACAAATATATGGCACACTCATTAAAGCAGCCTGACTTTTTTCAATTCTCTATATGGTTTACTATGAACGAACAACATTTTACCATTATTGTTTCTGCTCAAATAGCTGCCCCCCCACCACCAAAAAATTTGGATATATATATCATTTTGCTGCATTAGGTTTATGATTGTGCAATGCTTTAAAGACAGGCGCATCAAAATGTGCAGCTCTTATCTGCAATTCATTACAATCATGCAACTGTTTTAATAAGTCACAACAAGGCTGCACTCATACATTTGATGCATTTCTTCAATAGCACAGTCCTGTTACCTTTAACATGGCTATTCAAACTTCCTATTGTACACCTGTTGGCATATTACCACTTAACAACACTTCAAGGCTTAACAGAGATATGGGAAGGGTAATAGCTATCTAAGGCAGTGTTTCTCAACCTTGGCGACTTTAAGTCCTGTGGACTTCAACTCCCAGAATCCCCCAGCCACCCCTGCTGGGAGTCTGG